GAACCCCACCAATGATAGATTTGGGGCAAACTTCCCACACAGAACCCCTATAATCAACAGAAAATACTTAAGGCCACCCAGTCCAACTCCCTTCACCAGGGCAAGAAAACGTAATGAAATATATAGATAGATAGATATGATTCACACACAGAGAGACATCTATATAAATAAAAATGTAATGTTCGTTTGTGAGATTAACATAACTCAAACATCACTGGACGAATTGACACCAAATTTGGACACAATACACATATCAGGCCAACGAGTGACCACCACTCATAAAAACACTGAAAAGCACAGCAGAAGAGACTTAAAACACCAAAAAACACATTACAACGCATGCGCAAAACCACATATATGGATGAGTTAACCTTTGCCGCCCTCCAGTGGACACACCAAGCATTCCACCCTCTTGTTTATTCTTGTTAATTCTGACCCTCCTCAAAATGCCTGACATAGATGCTTCTGAAACATGGCCATAAAGCCTGGAAAACTCACAACAGTGTTTCCGACCATGAAAGCCTTCGCCAATTCATTATTATTATTATTATTATTATTATTATTATTATTATTATTATTTACTTCATTTATATACCGCTTTCGCCTCCCTCGTATCTCTCCAGTCCCATGGAAGTCATTTGGAAGATGGTGTTGAGCTAAGGTTGTGGTGACTTTTGTGGGAATCATAGATTCATGGAATAAATAGAGTTGGAAGAGACCACATGGGCTATCTAGACCGATCCCTTTCCATCCAGGAAAAGCACAAAGTAACCCTGAAAGATAGCCAACCAGCCTCTGTTTAAAAGTTTCCAAGGAAGAAGCTTCCACAACACTCTGAGGCAGAGAGTTCCACTGCTGAACAGCTCATATGGTTAGGAAGTTCTTCCTGATGTTCAGGTAGCATCTCCTTTCTTGTAGTTTGAAGCCATTGTTCCATTGTGTTCGAGTCTCCAGGACAGCAGAAAACAAGCTTGCTCCCTCTTCGATATGGCATCCTTTCACATATTATACATGGCTCTCATGTTTCCTCTCAACCTTCTCTTCTGCAGGCTAAACAAACCCAGCTCTTTAAGACATTCCTCAGAGGGATTCATGATCTCCAGACCTTTAGTTGCTCTCCTGTGGACACCTTCCAGCTTAGAGTCAAGCTTAGTGTCCAGAACTGGACACAGTGTGATTCCAGGTCAGGTCTAACCCATTGGTTCTCAACCTGTGGGTCCCCAGATGTTTGGCTGGGATTTCTGGGAGATGTAGGCCAAAAACACCTGGGGACCCACAAGTTGAGAACCACTCGTCTACCAAAGTAGAATAGAGAGGCAACATGACTTCCCTCGATTTGGACACTAGACTTGATTGGATTTGTTAGGTGCCGCATCACATTGTTGGTTCATGTTCAACTCATTGTCCACGAAGACTCCAAGATCTTTCTCATTTTGGTAGTTTTGGACAATTAGCTCTCTAATCTGTTAAGGTCCTTTTGAATTCTGATCCTATCCTCTGGTCCTACTTTGGTGTCATCTGCAAACTTGATAAGCATGTCCTCTAAACCTTCATCTAAATCATTAATAAAGATGTTGAACAGTACCGTGAATCCAAACACTGATGGATCTGGACCCAACTTGGCACACATACCTGATATTCCAAAGTTTGGGGGGAACTGACCTTCCTTTGTGGGAGTTGTAGTTCACCCAAAACCAGGGAAAGTGTGACCTCCACAGATGATGGACCTGGACCAAACTTGGCACACAGAACTCCCATGACTAATTCAACCAACCCAAAGGGTTTGAAGGGACTGACTCTCCATAGTGGGAGCTGTAGTTTACCATACACCAGAGAGCACACTGAAAATACTGAAGAGGTTTGGGGGAAATTCACCTTGGTACTGGGATTTTTAGCTCACTTGTAATCAAAGAGAACCCTGTAACACACCAATAATGGCCCTGGACCTAACTTGGCACACAGAACTACCACAACCAACTGAAAATACTGGAGGAATTTATGGGGAACTGACCTTCATTTCTGGAAGTTGTAGTTCACTTACTTCCAGAGACACTGTAACCACCACTGATGATGGATCAGGACCAAACTTGGCACACAGAATTCCTATCACTAACTCAACCTACTGGGTAGGTTGGAGGGGACTCACTCACCATAGCGGAAGTTGTAATTTACCCAACAGCCAGGGAGCACACTGAACCCCATGGATTATGCATTGAGAACAAACATACTCAACATAAGAAACTTTAAATACTGATGAAGTTTTTCAAGGCTAACTTGGCATGATAAGAGTTGTAGTTCACCCACAACGTTATGCATTCTGTACATTTAAACACTGACTTTTCCAAATAACTCTGGCAACACTGGGTACCCAAGCTAGTATAACTATAATACCCAAACAGCAGGAATTGGGAGCAACAAGGAGGAAACCACTTTGTGTACAGCTATGAACAGAGAGGTGTCACAAAAATTGAATAAGCGGATTTGAGAAATATGAATTTAAAATTATGTGTGGGCATGAATGGAAGAATGGAAGGATGTATGAATGGAGTTAATAATTTTGGAAACACCAGTAAAAGACTAAGGCCTGCAATGACCAACTATCTGCTTGCTGGGCTGTAATTAAAACCTGCTAATAAGAACTGAAAAGTAAACTCTGAAAAGGACTGTGACAATGGTTCTTTCAACTTAAGGAAATGTTTGCAACATTCCTTATATTAAGAAGCAAGTCAACAACTAGTCCAACGTTCGGCAGCCATGAAACTAACAGGAGCGGCACTCAGGGAGCATACAACTCCTCTGTTGCGCCAGCTCCAATGGCTGCCAATTTGCTACCGGGCACAATTCAAAGTGCTGGCGTTGGCCTATAAAACCTTAAACGGTTCTGGCCCAAGTTACCTATCCGAACGCATCTCCGCCTATGAACCCACTAGGACTTTAAGATCTTCTGGGGAGGCCCTGCTCTCGATCCCGCCTGCAACTCAGGCACGGTTGGCGGGGACGAGGGACAGGGCCTTCTCGGTAGTGGCCCCTCGGCTGTGGAAGGCCCTACCCACAGACATCAGATCAGCTCCCTCATTAATGGCATTTCGGAAGAAAGTGAAAACCTGGTTATTTGAACAGGCGTTTGAATAGGCAGTTCAATGAATTACAATGAGTTATAGGAAATCGGTACAACGGATGACGAGCTTGGATTATGATTTCAGTTATGAGACGTTAGTGAGTTGTTTATTGATGTTTATTGATGGTTATTGATGTTAATTGCTTATTGTATTATTGTGTTAATTGTCTTTTAAATGGCTGTACGATGTTTGCATTGAATTTTTGCCGCTACTTGTTGTTAACCGCTCTGAGTCACCTAATGGCTGAGAAGAACGGTATACAAATAAAGTAAATATATAAATAAATAAATAATAAATAAACACAAGCCTGTGTTTGTCAACACCAGGGGTCCTCAAACTATGGCCCGGGGGCTGGATACGGCCCCCCAAGGTTATTTACCCGGCCCTCGCTCAGGGTCAACCTAAGTCTGAAACTACTTGAAAACACACAACAACTACAACAACAATCCTATCTCATCAGCCAAATGGAGGCCCACACTTCACATTGAAATACTTATACGTTTATATTTGTTAAAATTGTTCTTCATTTTAATTATTATATTGTTTTTAAGTGGGGTTTTTTTTGCACTACGAATAAGATATGTGCAGTGTGCATAGGAATTTATTCTTTTTTTCCAACTATAATCCAGCCCTCCAACAGTTTGAGGGACTGTGATCTGGCCCTCTGTTTAAAAAGTTTGAAGACCCCTGGTCAACACCAATCAAGAAGAGTCAACATCTGGCCAGGAAACTGAGATGGAGCCAGGATGGAAGATGTCTATCATTCATTTACAACTTTGGGACTACATCAGCAGAATATTCCTACCAAAGACTCTGTCTAATAATACTCAAAGTGTGGCAGACCTGAGGAGTCTGGTTCACCCGCCATGCTCTGCTCCATGGGAAGGAGAGAGATGGTGTATTCAGAGAATGTCAGATATGCTATGGGAAAGCATGATACTGTACACTTTGTTTGTTAATCATGTAATTGCAAATCCAATGTAGCTGCATAGAAGCTGTATGTCTGTATGTCTAAATGTTTTTCTGTAATCTGATCATAGAATCATAGAATCAAAGAGTTGGAAGAGACCTCATGGGCCATCCAGTCCAACCCCCTGCCAAGAAGCAGGAATATTGCATTCAAATCACCCCTGACAGATGGCCTCCAGCCTCTGTTTAAAAGCTTCCAAAGAAGGAGCCTCCACCACACTCCGGGGCAGAGAGTTCCACTGATGAACGGCTCTCACAGTCAGGAAGTTCTTCCTCATGTTCAGATGGAATCTTCTCTCTTGTAGTTTGAAGCCATTGTTCCGTGTCCTAGTCTCCAAGGAAGCAGAAAACAAGCTTGCTCCCTCCTTTATATTGTAATTGTTTCATGACGGGCGGGGGTTGGGGGTTGTATAAAAGGACGAGCCAATATAGTTTTCCCTCTCCCTCCCTTTTTTTATTTCTGGAGATGTTGGGTGGAGTGGCTAGGACAAATTGCTGAACTTTTCAAAATCTAACCTAATTGTAGCACTTCAAAGTCCCAAAGTTTATTGCCCTGTTTAATGATGTGTCTGGTTATTTATGGCGTCGCACAATGAGTCTGCTGCCGAATTAATATACTTCCTTAAAGACTGTCATTGTCACAAGCGATAAAACGGAACCATTCCCAGACAGCTCAATTATGTCGCGTTTATAAAAATCCTACCCAAATCACCCGCCGCAGCTTGAAGGGACTTGCAAGCAGATGAAAGGATCGCGGCGGATGCGGGTGATGTGGTGCAATGCAGAGAGAGAGTAGTGACCTCCAGGACAGTCGACAGGAGGTCACCAAGTCTCCAAAGGGGTGCAAAAGGTGGAAGCATAGGATGAAGAGAAGAGGATACCAAGCTTTGTCCTCTCTTGAAAGCACCTTACCTTTCTGATACTGGAGCCACAGTTGCTGCTGGACCTTCTTGCTGGGGAAACGAATAGTACAGCTGAATTCGGACCCGTACAAGGCCTCTGCGATATAATGGGAGCCATACTGTTGGATGAAGTAGAGCAGCTCCTCTCGGCTGCTGTCTTTGTTCAGGATCTTCAGGACGTTTGCAAATCCTAAAGAAGATGTCACAAAAAATAACAAAAGGGTCAGAGACTTCAGAAAGACCGAAGTACCGAAGACTCATGAGTTAATCCATGGAGATTGGTACTGTCTTGAAAGTTACTATCTATATAAATAAAAATGTAATGTTAGTTCGTGTTAGCATCAGAACTCAAAAACCACTGGGGGAATTGACACCAAATTTGGACACAAGACACCTAACAGTCCAATTTATGTCCTCCACTCAAAAAAATTGATTTTGTCATTTGGGAATTGTCGTTGCTGGGATTTATAGTTTATATTTGTATGCTTATATTATTTATTTGTATGCTTATATACCGCAATATCTCAGCCTACAACGGCGACTCATTGCGGTTAACAGTACTTAAAAACAACAATAATCAATTTAAAAGCATGAAAAACATATACAGTACACAGTATCGGGCCACCAATACAGACCAATGCATCTCTTAATTAAAATCATAATCCGAATTCATCGTCAATAATTACCAGTCCTTGGTTTACCTACAATCAAAGAGAATTCTGAACTCCACCAATGATGGAATGGGGCCAAACTTAGCACACAGGGCTCCCATGACCAACAGAACACACTGCAAGGGTTTGGTGGGCATTGACCTTGAGTTTGGGAATTTTAGTTCACCCACATCCAGAGAGCACTGTGGACTCAAACAATGATGGATCTGGACCAAACTTGGCATGAATATTCCATATGCCCAAATATGAACACAGACGGAGTTTAAGGGAAATAGACCTTGACATTTGGGAGTTGTAGTTGCTGGGATTTATAGTTCACCTGCAATCAAAGAGCATTCTGAACTCCATCAACAATGGAATTCAACCAAACATGGCATATAGGACTTCCATGACCAACAGAACACACTGCAAGGGTTTGGTGGGTAGTGACCTTGAGTTTGGGAGTTGTAGTTCACCTACATCCAGAGAGCACTGTGGACTCAAACAATGATGGATCTGGACCAAACTTGACACAAATATTCCATATGCCCAAATATGAACACAGATGGAGTTTGGAGGAAACAGACCTTGACATTTGCGATTTGTACTTACTGGGATTTATAGTTCACCTACAATCAAAGAGCATTCTGAACTCCACCAATGATGGAATTGAACCAAACATGGCATACAGGACTTCCATGACCAACAGAACACACTGGAAGGGTTTGGTGGGAAAATACTTAAGGCCATCCAGTCTCTTCACCAGGGCAAGAAAATGTAATCAGAGCCCTCCTGACAAAGAGCCATCCAGTCATAAATATAGATAGATAGATATGATTCTCACACACACACACAGATATAGTATCATAGATTTGAAAGAGACCCTTAAAGAAGGACTATGATATGTGGCATATTCCAGAGTAGGCAAACCAGACACTCTCCACATCAACACTGACAAAGAAACAACAAGAAATACTGTTTACCCACAAGCATAAAGACATGACATATATTAGAAACCAGCACTTTCTCATTACTTTATTTTCCAGATCACCAGACTGGGCCACAGCAACGCCTGGCAGGGGACAGCTAGTTAAAAATAGACTTACAAGGGGTGTTCATTAAATATGTCCCCTGACCCACTTCTATTTATCACAGGATGCTGAAACTGCACATGTGTAATGATATGCAGGTTGAATGAAAAGTAATGCCTCCACCTTTGTAACTCCTCAACAGATGGCAATACTGGTATGCGGCAGGTACTGGCTTGTTCAGTAGACTCTCCTCTACAGTCCCATTTGGGTGGGTAGCCTTAGCATTGAACGGTCACGTCTTCAAGCTCCTCTTAAAGACTGCCAAGGTTGGGTCCTGTCTGATGTCTTTAGGGAGTGAGTTCCAGAGTCGAGGGGCCACTATCGGAAAGGCCCTCTCTCTCGTCCCCACCAACCGCACCTGCGATGCTGGTGAGATCGAGAGCAGGTCCTCTCCGGATGATCGAAGGGATCGCGTGCGTTCGTATATAGAGATGCGGTCATGCAGATAGGCGAGTCCCAAACCGTTCAGGGCTTTGCTGTCATTGAATTCTTGACAGCAGAAGGTGTCACCCCAAAGGAGATTAATCAGAGAATGCAAGCTATTTATGATAATTGTGTTGATGTGAGTACTGTGTGTCATTGGGTGAGTAAGTTTAAAGATGTTGAGGTGGGAACATTTGACTTGCATTACAAACAAGAGTTGGATGTCCTGTGACAGCAACCACCGAGTTTCACAAGCAAAAGGTTGACAAATTGATTTGGGACAGCCTCTGTTCTTCAGGGCACAGCTGGCAGGAAGTGCAACTGGCACATACCCAGGTATCAGATAGAAAATAGAAATAAAAGAGAAGAAGGAATACGATGAGAAGAGAAAGAGGAAAAGAAAAGAAGAAGGCAAAGGAGAAGAAGAAAAAAAAGAAAAAAAAGAGAAAGATAGAGATTTGAGCGTGAGTGAGATGTAGGCGAAACATCAGGAGAGAATGCCTCTAGACCATGGCCATATAGCCCGAAAAAACCTACAACAACCCAGTGATTCCTGCCATGAAAGCCTTCGACAATACATTAAAATAACCTATGCTTTAAAGTTATTGAAAAGTCATTCATGACAACACCTCCTCCAAAGAAGGCAAGTGCCCAACTCTTGGCATACAAGGTCATGCTCACAGGATTTTGGGACCAGCATGGAGTAGTATTGATGGATTTCCTAGAAAGGGGACCATGATCACTGGGAAGACTAGGCTTCATTGATGTGGAAATTGCAGGAGGCCATCCAAACCCAGAGACAATGTGGCATGCTCACCAAAGGTTTCTGCGTTCTGCAAGACAAGGCACCAGCTCACAACTCACACATTGCCCAAATTGAAGAAGCATGCTTTGACATTCTACCACATCTCCCTGATTCACCCCACCTCGCACCATCGGACTTCCAACAGGAGAGCTTCTAAAAGTCAGAGTAGACAACATGGACAAATATCTTGATGTAGTATAACAGTGGTTCCCAACCATACTAATGCCGTGACCCCTTAATATAGTCCCTAATGTTGTGGTGACCCCCAACCATAATATTGTTTTCATTGCTACTTCATAACAGTCATTTTACTACTATTATAAATCATAATGTAAATATCTGATATGCAGGATGCATTTTCAGTCACTGGACCAAACTGGGCACAAATACCAAATACACCCAAATGTGAATGCTAGTGGGGTTGGAGGAGGATTGATTTTGTAATTTGGGAGTTGTAGTTGCTGGGATTTATAGTTCACTTATAATCAAAGAGCATTCTGAACTCCACCAGCAATGGATTTGAACCAAACTTGGCTCCCATGACCAATGGAAAACACTGGAAGGGTTTGATGGGCATTGACCTTGAGTTTGGGAGTTGTAGTTCACCTATATCCAGAGAGCACTGTGGACTCATGCAATGGACCAAACTTGGCACAAATACTCAATATGCCCAAATGTGAACACTGGTGGAGTCTGGGGAAAATAGATATTGACATTTGGGAGTTGTAGTTGCTGGGATTTATAGTTTATTACAATCAAAGAATATTCTGAACTCCACCAACGATAGAATTGGCTCAAACTTCCCACATGGAATCCCCATGACCATCAGAAAATACTGTGTTTTCTTATGGTCTTTGGCGACCCCTCTGACACCCCCTCGCGACCCCCTCAGGGGACCGGACCCCCAGGTTGAGAAACACTGTAGTATAAGGTGGGTCAAAAGTTACAAAGGGCGCGGATAACACATTCTATATGTGTATGAACATAGCTTCTGTTTCTCTGCCTTCTGTTTCCCTAAAGGCCACTTTTGCTTTGTGTCCAGCAGAAGATGGGTTGTGAAATGGATATGTTCTATATGCCTCTTGGGAAGCAAGCTGGCCACAGCATGTGTTTCAAGCCTTTTGAGCCTCGGCAGTGTGTTTGAAGAAGTCTGCCAGGCTTTGAAGAAGAATATAACGTTTTCCCAGTTGTCAACGTCAATGCGACGTGGCTGTGCTCACCTGCTGAAAGGGCGATCGTGCTGAGCTTTACTCTGTATAAGTTGCTTCTGACCCGCCAGTGCTGCACCATGGGGTAGCCCATGGCTTCATCATAACGGATATCGCCTGCAAATAAAGAACCAGGATTCAGACACGGCAAGGGCAAAAATTGTTTACTCACACCACAATTGCCTTCTCTACCCTGTATTTAGAAGCCCTAAAGTGAACATTGGTGGATTTTCCATGCAGAATCGCATTGCTTTCCCTATCCATACATGGAAATTACAAATTACAAAAGGAAGGAAGGAAGGAAGGAAGGAAGGAAGGAAGGAAGGAAGGAAGGAAGGAAGGAAGGAAGGGAGGGAGGGAGGGAGGGAGGGAAGGAGGAAAGAAAGAGAGAAGGAAGGAAGGACAAAAGGGTGAAAGGGAAGGATGGATGGATGGATGGATGGAAGGGAGGGAGGGAGGAAGGGAAGAGAGAAGGATGGAAGGACTAAAGAGTGAAAGGGAAGGATGGATGAAAGGAAGGAAGGAAGGAAGGAAGGAAGGAAGGAAGGAAGGAAGGAAGGAAGGGAGAGAGGGAAGGAGGGAGGGAAGGAGGAAGGAAAGAGAGAAGGAAGGAAGGAGGACAGGGTGGAAGCGAAGGATGGAAGGAGAAAGAGGGAGGGAGGTAAGGAGGAAAGAGAGAAGAAAGGAAAGACATAAGGGTGAAAGGGAAGGAAGGATGGATGGATGGATGGATGGATGGAAGGGAGGGAGGGAGGGAGGGAGGGAAAGGGAAGGATGGAGGGAAAGAAAGGGAGGGAGGGAAGCAGGGAAGGAAAGAGAGAAGGAAGGAAAAGGAAGGAAGGAAGGAAGGAAGGAAGGAAAGGAAGGGAGAGAGGAAGGAGGAGGAAGGAGGAAAGAGAAAGGAAGGAAGGAGGAAAGGGTGGAAGCGAAGGATGGAAGGAGAAAGAGGGAGGGAGGTAAGGAGGAAAGAGAGAAGAAAGGAAAGACATAAGGGTGAAAGGGAAGGAAGGATGGATGGATGGATGGATGGATGGAAGGGAGGGAGGGAGGGAGGGAGGGAAGCAGGAAGGAAAGAGAGAAGGAAGGAAGGACAAAGGGGTGAAAGGGAAGGATGAATGGGAGGGAGGGAGAGAAGGAGCGAAGGAGAAAGGAAAGAGAGAAGGAAGGAAGGAGGAAAGGGTGGAAACGAAGGATGGAAGTAGAAAGAGGGAGGGAAGTAAGGAGGAAAGAAAGAGAGAAGAAAGGAAAGACATAAGTGTGAAAGGGAAGGAAGGAAGGATGGACGGGAGGGAGGGAAGCAGGAAGGAAAGAGAGAAGGAAAGAAGGACGAAAGGGTGAAAGGGAAGGATGGATGGATGAAAGGAAGGGAGGGAGAGAGGGAGGGAGGGAGAGAGGGAGGGAAGGAGGAAGGAAAGAGAGAAGGCAGGAAGGAGGAAAAGGTGGAAGCGAAGGATGGAAGGAGAAAGAGCGGAGGGAGGTAAGGAGGAAAGAAAGAGAGAAGAAAGGGAAGACATAAGGGTGAAAGGGAAGGAAGGATGGATGGATGGAAGGGAGGGAGGGAGGGAGGGAGGAAAGAGAGAAGGAAGGAAGGACAAAAGGGTGAAAGTGAAGGAAGGATGGATGGATGGATGGATGGATGGATGGATGGATGGAAGGGAGGGAGGGGGAGGGAGGAAGGGAAGAGAGAAGGAAGGAAAGACAAAAGGGTGAAAGGGAAGGATGGATGGATGGATGGATGGATGGATGGATGAAAGAAAGAAAGAAAGAAAGAAAGAAAGAAAGAAAGAAAGAAAGAAAGAAAAAAGCAAGGGGGAGGGAAGGAGGAAGGAAAGAGAGAAGGAAGGAAGGAGGAAAGGGTGGAAGCGAAGGATGGAAGGAGAAAGAGGGAGGGAAGTAAGGAGGAAAGAAAGGAGAAGAAGGAAAGGAAAAGGGGAAGAAGGGAAGAAGGAAGGAGGGGAGGAAAGGGGGAAGGAAAAAAGGTGGAAGGGAAGGGAAGGGAAGGGAAGGGAAGGGAAGGGAAGGGAAGGAAGGGAAGGGAAGGGAAGGGAAGGGAAGGGAAGGGAAGGGAAGGAAGGAAGGGAAGGGAAGGGAAGGGAAAAGGGAAAATGAAAGGATGGAAGAGAAGGACAAAGAAGGAGGGAAGGAGGAAGGAAGGAAGGAAGGAAGGAAGGAAGGAAGGAAGGAAGGAAGGAAGGGAAGGAAGGAAGGAAGGAAGGAAGGAAGGAAGGAAGGAAGAAGGGAGAAAGAGGGAGGTAAGGAAGGGAGGGAGGAAGAGAAGGAGGAAGGAACGAGAGAAGGAAGGAAGGATAGGATATTGAGGGAGAGAAGGGCCTGAGAAAAGTGCCCCAAAGGGCCACATCCAGTCCCTGGGCCTGGGTTTGCTCATACCTGCCCTAACTCAAATAGACCCTAACCCTAACCTCCTACCTGTGAGCAGCTGGAGGTTGGGCAGAGGCTCAGAGAGCACACCGCGACACTGCTCTTCAACTGGCAAAGGGATGACCATCAGTGCATCAGCCAACTGGGGAAAGTCCTTGATGAAGTTGTTCTCTCTGCAAAAAGAAATAGGAGAACTCAGAAACAAACAGCACTGATACCTTATTTGGGCTGACTGAGCAGTACAGGTTGGAGAGAAAGGGAGTTGGTGGGAACATATGCACAATTTTAAAGAGAGAAAAATAAATAGTGCAATTCTTTGGATTGTAACATCTTCTGCCATTTGTTGGGTTGCATTAAACCACTTGAAATCTTCTTCATTAGTTGTTGCTCTCCAGGCCTGGAAACACCTATGACCACCACGCCACATAACAGTCCAGGAATATAAGCAAACACTTTATTGTAAAAACATATAAAAAGCACATAGCAAATCAAGAAGAAGAAAGGAAGATATATAATCCACAAAAGTTTAGCAACAGGTGATAACCAGACAATAATCCAAATGTTTTATAAAGTTCAAGAGGTGACAAAGTCCAGGAACAGCCAGAAATCACAGATACATCATAAGTCCACAATCCAGAAGGTATAAGTAAATTTGAAAAGGAGTACATGAACAGGAAAATAGAAAACTTCCAGAATATATTAAAACCAAAACCACAGCTTGAGTTTAACCAGAAACAAGAGAACTCATGCTTAGCTTCTCACTCTAATGCAGCGTTGCCTGAACTGACCTTAAGGTAAATAACTTGTTGCTTAATAGACACCCATGAAATCATTCCCTTTCCCATGAAACTCTTTCACAACTTTCCCATGTAATCTCTCTGAAAGATGCAATCTATTTTCAGCTCTGATTTGTAAACAAAGACATTTGTTTATCTCCCTAGCTCCAGGTGGGTTCTTCTGGGAACCCTCTGTTGAGATTAACTTCACAATTCAGCAGCAGATCAGTTGCACAACTTTAGCGCTTTCCAGTAGCTTCTTCCTGCACAGTATTTTCAGTCAACTGCATCCACAGCCTGCAGTCATTCTGGAACCTTTTACAGACACTTGAGCACATACCCGGCCATTGTCAGTTTTACCATTGTCTTTCCCCCAGTCTAGATGATATTACAAACTTACCACAGCATACAGTTATATCTTGTCTTAGCAGACAGGTTCTTTTAATTACATATAGCCTTCGACGAATAACATCACAGCACAAGGAGAAATATACACTGTACATGACTTCCTTATATACAATTCTATACAATTACACATAGCAATCACTGATTGGTTCCCAACTCATTGACTTAACTCAGACCCAGGATTACATCATTCACAATCACCTGGCTAGGCCAGAACACATTCACCAAATTATTCCCTATATACAGTTAATGCATGACTCAGCATTTCCAATAGAAGCCTACTAGCAGTGCATGACTCAGCCATATTACATTACAATACATTGTAAAACCTGACACCCTCCTTATTAATCAGCTCTTCACTCAATTTCTTATCTGCTGTTGCTACTTCTGGTTCCCCTGGCTAACCTTGAGACCCTGCACTTTCTGAGTCAATTTTCTCACAGCGAGAACCACCATTTCCCAAACTTGAGCCCATCACTTTGTGCCACAGGAAAGCTCACAGTCCCCTCTAAATCATAACCTGTTGTTGATCTACAACAGAGCTTTTCCAAAATGGAGTTGCCAGTGAAATCCATCTGCATTTGAAGGACATATCTCATGGTTTCTCTTTGCATGTGTGACTCCATAATGAAATGCTTCAGTTTTCCCAAACCAAGGACTTAGTAGTGAACCATCTCTACAGTTGAATGTGTTTCTAATACACTCTAGTCCATTCCTACTATCACCAGTATTTGATAATGCAGAAAAATAATGTTCTCAAGGTGCCAGGCTTCCAAGGAATGCATATCTCTCTAGACCTGTCTAGCCAAGGAAGGCATATTCTGGCTTACGCCTACTTCTTTGTTTCTGCAGAGGGGTATAGATGGCTCATAGGTTGCTTAAGGAGCACGGCAGGGCAGCAAATCTGACACACCAGGCCTTCAAAGGACTACCTTCTCTTTGCAACTAGCAATGAAAGTTCGGCAAGGCGTTTGCCTGGAGCAACAGTCATCCCAGAAGACTCTGTGAACCCACTCTGGCAGAGAGTCATGAGGATGTCTTTGAGATGGGGAAACTGCCATTCGGCTTCAAACCTGGGTTCCTCCAAGGAATGAACTGCTAATTAGCTCCCATGAGATGTGCTGCATTGTTATCTCACTTAAAAAAAGGTTTTTGGGAGTTTTAGAATAGAATAGTCCTGTCAATGATGGCTATGGGAAAAACAGGGTGGCGCCAATCTAGATTCCTAAAACTGTATTCCCACTTAAGGTTTGTATTTGTCTGTCATCCAAATCTGTAACCTACATGGGCTTCCATTTTTCCCTTTGGCTTCTCTGTTCTGACCAGCCTATTCTATTTGTTCAAGACGCAGAACTACACAAGGGGAGCCTTCAAGGCACATTTAAAAATGTGTCAGGCATGTCTTTAGCCCTATAATGCAGCAGTGGTATTCACTGGGGGAGACGATGTTATATAAAAAGATTCATTTAAAAAATGGAACATTTGCTGATTGTATAGGATGTATTGACTGGAGGTGGTTGCCGTTGCTGAAATGAATACATATTACATATGCATAGCTACAGAAAAGAGTCCCTTTTAAGAGAGGAGGAGGAGGAGGAAGTGGTGGTGGAAGAGGAGGTGGGGGAGGTGGTGGAGGAAGAGGAGGAGGAGGAGGAGGAGGAGGAGGGGTGGTGGAGGAGGTGGTGGTGGTGGAGGAGGAGGGGGGGGGTGGAGGAGAGGAGGTGGAGGAGGAGGAGGTAGGGAGGAGGTGGAGGAGGAGGAGGAGGGAGGAGGGGTGGTGGAGGAGGAGGTGGAGGAGGTGGTGGTGGAGGGAGGAGGGAGAGCTGGAGGAGGAGGAGGGATGGAGGAGGAGGTGGTGATGGAGGAGAAGGGTGGTGGTGGAGGAGGTGGAGGAGGTGATGGAGAAGGTGGTGGTGGAGGAGGAGGTGGGTGGAGGAGGTGGAGGAGGAGGAGGAGGAGGAGGTGGTGGAGGAGGAGGAGATGGAAGAGGAGGAGGTGGAGGAGGAGGTGGTGGAGGAGGAGGTGGAGGAGGAGGAGGAGAAGGAGTGGTGGAAGAGGAGGAGATGGAGGAGGAGGTGATGGTGGAGGAGGAGGTGGTGGAGGAGGAGGACGTGTGGTGGAAGAGGACGAGATGGAGGAGGAGGAGGTGGTGGAGGAGAAGGTGGTGGAGGAGGAGAAGGTGGTGGAGGAGAAGTAGGTGGTGGTGGTGGAGGAGGAGGTGTGGTGGAAGAGGAGGAGGTGGTGGTGGAGGAGGAGGTGGTGGTGGAGGAGGAGGAGGGATGGGCCGGGCTATGCACAGCGGGCTAAACCGGTAAGCCGCAGAAAATCCTGCTGATCGAAAGGTTGGCAGTTCAAGCCCGGGTCGAGGTGAGAACCTCTTTCAGCCCCAGCTTACTGCCCACCTAACAGATTGAAAACAGAAATATGAGTAGATAAATAGGCACCACTTTTAGCGGTAATCAAAGACACCCATAAGGACATAAGGTGATTAGATCGGGAGAATGTCTAAGGATGACAAAGCTCCTTGACATGGCAGATGGAACAGCAACACCCGCCACGTGGCAAGAGTCGAGCATAGCCTCTAGATGCCGGAAGTGGGAATCATGGGAAAAGCCTTTGCCTCTGTTTATGTATTGTCTGTCCTTGTTAATTGTATAAGGACACTGAATGTTTGCCTTATATGTGTTCTGTAATCTGCCCTGAGTCTCCTTAAGGAGACAGAATAAAAATGATGATGATGTTTTTATTATTATTATAGAAGAAGAAGAAGATTATGTAACAAAATTTGAGAAAAAAACATGTTCCTGGTTTGAAAGTGTTATTTCCTGTTTAATTGTGCAGTACTTCATTTGAAAGTAGTTGTTCTACTCCAGAAACTTCATTGTTGTGGCTGCCACAAACTGTGTTGAATTGATTGAGACTCTATGAGATATTCATTGAAAAACTAGAGTAATATGTGCTGCAGGATGTCCCTCCTGCAGAAACAAAGTTTTTGCAGTGTAATAAATTTCCCCATGTTTTTATGAGAGAACCAATTAGGAAATGGTATTTATAACCCAGGAACAGAAATCATGCCAACCTTAAAATAGATGGAATAGACACTGAGAACAGGGAAGCCTTGGCCTCTGAGTGCTCTAGCTGGAGGTCAGCTGTGATCAGCAGTGCTGTAGAATTTGAAGAGGCACAAATGGACGGTGAAAGGGAGAAACGTGCCAAGAGGAAGGCATGCCAAGCCAACCCCGCCTGGGACCGCCTTCCACCTGGAAACCGATGCCCTCACTGCGGGAGAACATGCAGGCCAAGAATAGGACTCCATAGTCACCTACGTACCCACTGCCAGGACACCAAACTTGGAAGACAATCTTACTCAGACAACAAGGGATTGCCTAAGCAAGATAGTATAATAATAACTATTCTATGAACCTTTTTTTTTATCATGTCAGGAGCGACTTGAGAAACTGCAAGTCGCTTCTGGTATGAGAGAATTGGCCGTCTGCAAGGACATTGCCTAGGGGACGCCTGGATGATTTGATGTTTTTATCACCCTTGTGGGAGGCTTCTCTCATGTCCCCGCATGAGGAGCTGGAGCTGATAGAGGGAGCTCATCCTCCTCTCCCCGGATTCGAACCTGCGACCTGTCGGTCTTCAGTCCTGCCGGTACGGGGGTTTAACCCACTGCGCCACCAGGGGCTCCTCTATGAACTTATTGTCTGTTGATTTTCACAGATAATTCTATTATTCTGTGTTGGAAACAGCAACCTTCTACAAGCCTCCTATACTAGTTGACAAAATGAGTCAATCTATTTATTAATGCTCTGATCAATGGTCATATGTATTTACAGCGACAGAAACAATATCTAACAAACATCTATGCAAAACACTATAAAATCCAACAGTTAAAAGTAGGATGCAAACAGGATAAAACAGAGTGTGCAAAATATACTATATTAATTATGTTATTGGGGCAACTGAAAAGAACACTTCGGAAACTC